TATGCTAACCCTTTTCTTGAAAAGTTGCAACAGGGAAAAGGCAAGCCAACATTTGCGTGTAATGATATTAGAAAGAGCATTATTACTGGATGTACTGATAATAAACAATATTAGATTTGCACTTGACAATTGCCTAACAACCCAAAGGCTAGTTCTGATCCCAGCAGTCCACTTCCTCTCATTCTTACCCAGACTATTCTTATTGAAATAAGGTCAATACACAATCAAACTAAAGTGCCAATAAACAGAGTTATACATAATTCTAATGCAAAAAAAAAAAAAAAAGCAACCCAAAAATATCCTTGAAGTCAGATGAATAACCACGGGTTTACCAATGAAACCACATGGATGGAAATTTTTTGTCATTATCAATGGAAAGATCTAAACATAGCAACAAGTAGAATCAAATTATAATAAAGCCATCCTTTCACAATAATTTATTCCCATTTGGAGAAACAGAGAGCAGAAAGCACTACTACAACCAAAAGGTGATGAAGGTATAAAAAAAATACTATTAAAAAAAACAGAAAAATGGACAAAAGAATCAAAAAGTAAACTACAAGATTCAGCAATGACCACACAAAAGCTCTGGGCAGCACATGAACTGAAACAAGTAAAAATGCCATAAACCTATAGTAATTCCAAGTTTTCTTTCGCTGGGTTTACAACTTTCTTTCAAGTTTCATCTCGAATGGACACTACAACAACACAATCACACACAGGTAATCTGCATAAATAAATAATGTTGAAACCAAAATACATAAAAAAAACTGTTTGATTTGTAGTCTCTCACCACCATACCTATGCATAATCTTGAAAGCGTAGATTTCATAGAGCAATCAATACTCGGCGCGACGACTATGTAGAAATTGAAGGGCGAGACTGAATCAGAATCAAAAACTTAAGTTACCTTGTGGTATTTGATGTGAACTGAGAATTCTCAATCAATCGCTCGTCGGATTGCCAGAGAAGTGCAAACTACAAATGGAGGGCTTGAACCTTCTACTTGTAGTCAGAGAGAGAGAGGGGAGCCCAGACGAGACGAGAGAGAGGAGATCAGATGAGACGATAGAGAGGAAACAGTGAGCGATCGGGTTTTTTTTTTTTCCAGATGGGTTGGGCCATTACCGAGCGGATTGGGAATGAAAAATATGGGTAAATTGTAAAAGGTATACCAAATTAAACTTATTTGACAAAAAGTATACACTGAAAAATGTAGGGTTATTAAATCTTTAATTTTCATACTTATTTGTATCTAAGTACACAATTTGATTTTGCCTAATTTTTTGTGATATTTTTGTCCTTCATTAATCCATGTGTATGTTATTTGGAAAGTGGTGCATTAAATATCTCCTAGTTTTATGGGAGAATTTTAATATTTAATGCACCTTGATTCATGTGTATTTGTTAATATATATATATACGTGTAAAGTATAACATTGAAAGTGTAAAGTGTTATATAATAATATTAAAAATAATAATAACAGTGTATTAATAACAATGTAACAACCTATTTACACAAGGTAAAGAGAGACATTACTTAAAGTGTTACACAAACAGAATATATGCGTCTCATCTTACACTAAAAATGCTAATTAATCGAGAAAGTGTGAAAGTGTTACACTTTCAATGTTAACATGTAACATTTTACACTTTCCGTTAAGTAAGGTGAGACATAAGGTAATACTTTACACTTTACACTTTCAATATTACACTTTACACGTATATACATACATGTATATATGTATATAAATATAATATACGTATATAAATACATACATATATAAATATAAATAAATAAATATAAATATATATATATATATATATACACACACACACAAGTATAAATATAAATATATATAGGTATATTGTATTTATGTATATATATACAAGTATGATCGATATTTTCTTTACGAGCACGTTGCACAATAAAATAGGTCTGAACTCCTCAAAGACCCCCGGGTTATCCACCTTAGGGATCAGCTCAAGAAAAGTTGAGTTGACTTGTTTTAATAACTTTCCACTTCGAAAGAAGTTCGATACAGCTTTGCACACATCATATTTGATGATTCCCCAACAGACCTGAAAAAAGTGGGCATTGAATCCATCCAGACCCAGGGCTTTATCCGAGTTAAAACTCAGCACAATCTTCTCGATTTCATCTCCCGTGACTTGTCGAATTAATCCTAGCTACTGATCCTTAGTAAGGACTCTCTCAAACTGAAAATGGTTGTTCACATTGCAAGATCTGATCTGTCCCAAGGAAATGATCAACTGCAGCAGCCTTGATGCTAGTCTCCCCATGTTCCATGTGGCCATTATCATCTTTAATGGAACGCAAAGTCTTTCGGGCTCTTCTTTCGGGTAAGGCTGATCATATAGTTCTTGTCTTTCTATCTTCATTTTTCAAGCACAGGACTCGGTCTTTCTGTCTCATAAGAGACTCCTCCGCGTCAAGTATTGCATTAAGTTCATAAAGTTTTCGAGTTTCATCCATCGCTGCTTGCTCATTTCCTTGGTCCTTCGCAAGAATGGTTTGGATCTTGTATAGCTTATATTTAAGGATTTTGATTCTTTCATCTATTTTGCCAAAGGTGGTAACATTCTAACTTTTCAGCGCCTCTTTGACTGCTTTAAGCTTTTGGACCACTTGGAACATGGGGTTGCCCTCAACTTGGATATTCCACGCTTGCTCCACAGTTCGGAGAAAGTCGGGATGATTAGACTACGCATTAATAAACCTTAAAGATTTATGGTTGTTCTGTACTAAGTGATTCAATTGAATAATGTCTAGGGCATGGTCAGAGAGTCCATTAGTATTAGTAATAACTCTAGGTTCGGAGAAGAGAGTAATGATCTCATGGTTAACCAGAATCCTGTCTAACTTGTGAGCTATTCTTCTTCGGCCGAACTCTTTGTTAGACCACGTGAAGGAGTCCCCATCCCATTTTGGTTCCACCAAAGCAAGGGCTTCAATATGTATATATATATATATATATATATATATATATATAGATATAGTAACAAATACACATAAACCAATGTGCATTAAATATTAAAGTTCTCTCATAAAACTAGGAAATATTTAATGTACTATTTTCCCTAAAATTGACATTTATGTCTTTGTATCTAACTAGTGTACCTTTTCACAAAATATTTTTTAATATATATTTTTTATCAAATAAGTTTAATTAGGTGTACCGGCTTCCAAAAATCTCATGAAAAATACCATGTTGGATTTGGTAATGCCTAATCCCATAATTTGTGGTATTAGGTATTCCTTTGGAATGGGAATGGATTTTAAATCCTGCAAACCAAACATTGAAATAGGATTTCCATGGAGCACTTATTCTATTCCTAATGCCTAATACCATGTACCAAACATAGTGATGTGCAGAAGTTGAGGAGGGTGGACTAATCCCCAACTCCTTTCCCTCCCTTCCCCAACTCCCATAGGATAGATCCATCTCAGCTCTGAAAAAAAGAGTAAGTTGACAATACCCTGCTACAAGGTTCTCCTAGTTGAGATGTACTGCCAAAAGGGCTACTTGACAAAGATCCAACACTCTTTTTGAATGTATTGTCAGACATGTCTGATTTGCTTTCGATGTCATCGTAATCCACATTGGCCTCTTCTGTTTAGGAATTCATGTCTTTGCATTTCTCATCCCTGAAAGCTTGATACTAACTGTTTTATCACCACAAAGAAAATCAGAAAATCAAAGAAAATGTAAGTTTTGTGTTAAAACAACAAACTTGAGTTTTGTTCTTGGTGTTAGGCACTGAATTTCAACCAAAAGATAGAACAATGACACTTTTGCTTCAGTGGCAGCTTATGCTTAAAGATAAATAAACCAAATTTGGTCTCTTTATATAGCCAGTTTATTCTTAGTTCTAGTAACAAATCCATGTGAAAGGTGTAGGTCGGATCAAGAAACCCTTCAGCAATTTTAGTTCCATAGATTAGATTACATCCCCTTTAGTCATTGAAGTTCAACCTGAAATCTAAAATCTAGGGAAGTTATCACCCCCTATCCTAATGCCTCTTGTTACAATTGTTTGAGTGGTTTCATAAGATTTCAAGTGCTTTTTGGGATTCAGTACAGGCCATACAAATGGGTTTTCTTCTTTTTTCAGCTTACATCCCTAATTGAATTGGAAGAAAAATGAAGAAAACTCATGTTTTCCGCTTTTTTTGCAGGATACGTAGTAAACTCGCACCATGTTGCTTATAGGCTGTTAATTTAGTTCACTTTGAGATGAAATGCAAAAACCCTCGTAAGAGTTCCCCATTTTTCAGTAAGCCATTGATTTTCGGTGGGAGTCCTGGGTTCCAATTGGTCTTTATGACTCTAGACTCACAATTAATGAGCAAAGCATCATATTTTATTTTTTATTAGCTAGTTTAGTAATTATTCAGAAATTTTTCTTGGTGTTCCTATAATGGTCACACTTTGATAACTAACACTCATGAAAGTTTAAAGCACTTCCTTTTGACTTCTGATTCAATCATTGATCAACGCCAAATGTGTATGCATATACAGTTTATAACAAATTTGATCATGGAAAATAACATCCTCAAAGTAGATATCTTCAAGTAATGAAAGTGTAATAAAGCTACGTACGAAAGTGATTCATTTGATCTACACCCAACCAATAGCAACCCGTAGTTCTAAAACAAATAAGTAAATTTGTCAAGATTTATCTAAAAGAAAAAAAAAGGAATTGCAGCGATTAGTAAAGAAATACAAATATATCATACGTAGATGTAACCAGAAAGAAGGGTGGCGATAGAGTACCACTGTATGACTTCTTCTTCAGTCACACCATCAAGTAAGATTTTGATAGACATGTCTACTCTATACAAAATTCACAACCCTGGATAAATCATACCAAACACAAACTAACATGGATAAAATAACAATTCTTTAAAAATTAACAATTCACAAAATAAATTAGAAATTTACTTCAATAATTGCCCACAAAGACGCCAAACATTATCATGTTGAATTTTTAGTGATTGCCTTCTTGACGCTGAACGCTAATTGAGAACCCGACGAAGCAAACGTTGCTCGAATCTTTGATGTGTGCCACTGTTATTGGGCCATGGAAGGTAAATATTGGTGTGCGCTTTGGTAGAATTTGAGAGAATTGAAAGATTAAGGGAGGTGATGGATCACCACGATGGTGGCAACAAACATAATCCACACAACAAAATAGAGAATGATACCAAACTCGTACTAAATCCCATAAAATCCAATCAAATAAATCTATGAAACTTAGGAATAATGAAAAAGCAATACAAAGCAAGCCAGATACAAAGATAGAATAAATAGAGAACACATATATACACGTGTACCTGTATCAAAAATCTCGTAATCGGAAGATCTATGATCACCGAAATGAAACCTTATACCCTATACCCACATCAATCTCTGCTAGTGCATGTCACATAATGGTTCTCCATGCTTGTAATAGAAAAAACAAAATACCATTGTCCGTCAATCAGAAAATATGAAACCTCAGATAAAAGATCGAGGTCATTTGAAATAAAAAGTCAATATCCCAAAACCAAAAAAAAACAAGAATATCCAATAACTTAAAATGATCTCAAGTTGGATTCAATAAGAGAGCATCTGAACATAATTCAATCAAGGTAAACAAAAAACTTACAATAACCACAAGAAAGGAAGAAAGTGCGCAAATCCAAAAATAAAGGCAATTCATACCCCCAAAAAATGCGGATCAAGAAAAACTCATCAATATAAACCGTAGTCTTGGAATCTCTAAAGACAAACAAGAAGGAGAAGGTGAAGAGAAGGGGCACATGACTATGTGTTCTCGGCCAATTTGTGAATAACAGAGAGAAAAGAGAGAAGAGAGAGAGTAACGACTGAGAGAGAGAGAGATGTGTGATTGATTTAGTGCGCTGAATTATGGGTAAATAGCGGAGAGAGAGAGTGAGAGAGACGACCGAAAAATAGGACAGAGAGAGGTTAACGACTGAGAATATGAAAGTTTTTGGGCTGGGGTGATTTAGGTTTATTATGGTATTAAATTTGGAGGATAAGTTTGGTATATTTATAATGTTGAAGGGTAAAAATAAAAAAAAAATATTTTTCAGTTATACTGTTTTTTAGAGTAGTATAGATATTTGAAAGTGATTCTAAAATCTCAAGAAGTAATTTGAGATATTATAGAAATTCACACCAACGCAAAGTACATCGTGAACCCACGATGATAAAAGTACATCAGTAATTGATCTATTAGAACCCTGATCACATAATGATCGAACAACAACTGTGATAGATCTTATTCCCAGTAAAAGTCTGATTATTGATCAGACCTCACTTTCCTTTAGCTGAATATCTTGTGGTTTCAGACGCTCATACTCTCCCAGAAGGACCTCAAGATGTTCGGAAAGCGCTGACTTATCGATGCTTTCTTGGTGGTATGATTTGCAGACGAAGTAGATTATAGTCTGAATCACCAACCCGAAGAGAATCAACATCAAAAGCAACAAGAAACACAATAACCCAACTCCGATTCTGTACTCAAACCTCAATGGCCATGCACTCACAACAAAATATTGAAACACAAATTGTGTCGCGTAGAGAGAGAAATTCAGCTTGAAGGAGAAAACAATTGCGACCCACATCTTCCCCTTTATCAGTTCCTTGCTCTTGAGCATTGCTTTGAATCCATATTTGTCTTCTAAGACTGATACAACGCTAGCCAACTGCCAAAGAATGGTCAAATACACAAATCCAACTGCGTAACAGATCAAAATGATGAAGAAAAACACCACACTAACGGTGTTGTCCCCATCAGTGACAGCCCAGATGAGGAAGATAAGCATTGCGACCAAGTTATAGACCAAGAAGACGAGGAAAGTCCAGAGAAAAGTGACCATTAACCTCTTCCAGACCTTGGGAACTACTCTCATGACCTTCTTGAAAGTCGCTTCACGAGCTGTGTATACACAGGCAATGGTGTAAACTACGGCGGCAGTGGAGAGGAGAGAGAAAATGAGGAGAAAGGTGAAGTAAACGAACTTGAAAAGCCAGAAATAGGCCCACTCCGATGAGACTCTATGATAGAATCTCTTGTGGATTGGATTGTCTGCTCTTGTACTGTGTATTACAAATTCCATTTTAAAGATTCTTGAGAGAAGTACGTTTGATTCGATGTGGGCGAGGAAGATGACGGAGAGAGGGAGAACCAGAGATAGGGTGATTTGGCTGAAGATTCTTCTCCATTTGAAGATGATCTTGCAGGCTTCTCTGTAGATGCCAAAGAGCCCTAAGGATTGCAGTTCTTCTTGCTCTCTTTCCATGTTTTTTGCTTCAAAGGAGGAAAAGATGGAGAGGTGAGAAAAGGGTGAGAGATGGAGTGGGGGGTGGCTTGGTTCTGAGGACAATTATAGGTGGTTGGTTGGGTACTTGGGTTGGACTGTTTTCTATGATATTGCCCTTAGTTTTTAATTTAACCACAAGTCAATACCCCTAATGCTTCAATTATCGAACCATAATTATCATCTCAACCACATCTTCGTCGAGATGGAATGTTTTATTCATACTCGATTCATTTATAATAATATATAATCAGATTCGTATTGTGTGTAAGTTGTATTTGACCAAGATTATGTTCTTTTTAATTTAAATATGGGTGTATCGAGTTCACTCATTTACTAACCGCACCTATTACAATTAAACGCAAATCTTTAATTACATATATATTTCGAGCTCTAGTCAATAAGAGAAAAATAAAGCTAATGTTCATGTTGTAGTTGTTTTTGAAGTGTCATGGTAATATTCGAGAACAAAATGGAGAGCTTTGGAGTGTCCGCTCACAAGATGGAACACTTTCTTCTTAGTTAGAAGATATTCCATTTGTTACGATGATTGTTTGTTGGTTTATGTTGGTCCTTTCATGATTAAACTTTTCATTAGAAATATTGTGATTAAAGCTTTGACGTTTGTCCCTCTAAACTTGTAGGTTTTCATTTCGATTCAATTGAAATACTACTACCTTACCAGAAAAGACCAAATGAATTTGCAATCCACTTTAGTATAGTGTTATTGAACGACGAATTATGTGGGTCAATTTAGTAACATAGTGATCCAAGATTAAAATCGGACGATTGACAGCATAGCTGTAGTTAGTGCCTACAGGGCGGCAACGGTAAGGAGAAAAGGACCTGCTCATCGGTTGTTACACACGACGGCGAAGTTTCGTAGGAAAGTAGCCAGCCAAAAGTCTTTTCCAAGTCTCCATTTGTATCGATTTGATAGTCCAACACCATAAAATTTATCTTTATAGGACGTAACGTGGATAGCCAGAGGTTGACAAAAAAAAAACCCATAAATTTTGTCCCCCACCAACGTAAGAATCTCCAAGAAAGTATAGAAGAATTTATAAAAACATACACCAATGATTCCTAGAATATATTTTTTTTTTCCCATTTTGGTTTTCCTTCTTTTAATCATGACACTTTAATTTTTAAAATTTTCAATTTAACTTCAAATGATTCAGTAAAAAAAATGATAGTTTTAAATTACTACAAGAAGTACGAATATGTATACATGGTGATTGGATATGTGACCACTTTTGTGAGGGAGATTTTAAACTTTTGTTTTCAACTGAATCATTTAGAGTCATGTTTAAATTTTTAAGAATTAAAATGTTCGATTTAAGTTCAAATGATCGAGTAAAAAATGTTAAATCTAAATTACTAACTAAAGTAAGAATATGTATATTTGGTGATTGGACAGGTGGCCACTTTGGTTAGGAATTTTAAACCTTTGTTTTTAATTGAATTATTTAGAGTTAAATTAAAAATTTTAGGAATTAAAATGATATAACTAAAAGATCGAAACAGTTCAAAGTGTGAAGGATAAATGATAGTATATGTGAAAAATGATATATCTATATCTATGTTACTTATAAATGTAAGCATATGTGAAAAACAAATTTATTTGTTAGTTCCTTTCTATTTATTAATGTTAAGTCAATCGTACCCTACACATATATACTTAATAATGTCATCATTTTTCTTTGAGCAATGTTATTGAGACATAATTTGGGATAATGAATTCATTTAATACTATAATGAGACTCATAATTAAATACATTTCACTATCATTTCATTTGTGACAACTCATTATGTCCCCAAATTATGTCTCTCAATTATTTCCCAATAGCATTAGTGTTTTTTTTTTTTTTATGTTCAATCAAAACTCTTATCATATATCAGTAGGTCACTAGCCATTCACTTTATTTATTCTTATAGTTATAGTTTTAGGTCATTAATTAAAAAGTAACTCTAATAACTCAATTGGCTCCATAATACATGTATAGAGTAATAACTAGGTTTAGTAAACATTAAAATAAGAATTAATTCTCCGACACATAATTTATTTATTTAATTCAATAACACACATAATATATATTTTTTATGTAATTTGACTTTCAAATTCTTTTGAACTTTTTTATAAGGAATATTTGATTTATAAATTCTTTTGAGTCTCTTTTATAAATAGTACACTTACATAAAATTTTTCATATACATGTCTACGTATATATGAAGAAACAATGACGAATTTATGTTATATTTAACGGTGTCATGGGCCGGTTTCCTATGGGCCCTGTTATTCGATTCGAAAAAATAGATTTGAAATTCGATAGGCCTGATAGTTGGCTCGCCTGAGCTCAAGTCTAATATCCTTAAAAAGAGGGCTTGAATTTTCCTACAAAATCATTATTCAGCCCAATAGCCCACTCAAAAAAAACCGTTAAAACCAGACACAAGAATCCATCCGTCAAGCCCAATCAGCCCACCATTCATTTGAAAAAAAGTTATATTTTTAAAATATTAAATTTGAAACTTTTAAATAAGTTTCTCAATATCGAAATTTCAAATTTTAAAAATATAGATGCTATAAATAATGTATTATTTTTTTTTCATATATTAAACATACAAGTTTTAAAGGATAGAGTAATGCAAATGATAGATAACTGAGTAGGTGTTAACGTAATTAAGATGTATTCATTCTATTGAATGTAATTCATCTCCTAGTTAAAAATAAAATTATTTATTATTTTATTTTTATCCATTTTGACTCTACTTTTGATTCAAAAATATAATTTATACATATATTAAGTTACAAAAATATTCATTATTTTTTAAGTGATGTTATATAAAAAAAAACTTGTGAGCAGGTCGGCCCGGCAAGCCCGCCCAGAAAGCCTTCTCAATAGGTTCGCGGGTTGGGTTGCGGGTAGTCTACCTTTACCTAAAGCTCGGTTCGACCCATCGGCGGTGGTGGTGGCAACGACGGTGGTTGTGGCGGTTGCAACGATTGTAGTGGGGGTAGTAGAGGTAATGGTGGAGCAGTTTCAAGTACTTTTTTTTTTAAAAGCATTTATGAGAAATAACTTTGAGAAAGACTTTTAAAAAGTCACTTCAAACACACTTTTAGGGGTCTAATTTTTTCTATTAAATTTAGGGTGTTAATATTAGTCGTTAGATCAATTTTAAAGTAAGATTTAAAACGATTTCAATCGCGAATAACAAAAGTCATTTTGTTTATCTTTTGAGATTTGAATTGTAAGTTACTTTATTATATAGACTAGTTATTGCATATGTTTGAAGGCATAAAGTAATAAAAAATGTTAACAACAAATATATTTGTATTTATATCCAAATCAAATCACAAACATAGAAAAAAAGTAAAGGAATTTAAACATCGATTTTTGTAATGGGGGGTGAGAGGTGGTGGGCGACAGTGATGGTGGTAAGAGACGATGATTTTTGTGATGGGTGACAATGACTGTGGTAGTGGTGGTGACAACAACAACGATGGTGGTAGTGGTAGAGGTGGTAGCAGTGGCAGTAGTGGTGGGGGAACGGTGGCGGTAGGGGTGGGGGTGGAGGTGGTGGTGGTGGCGATGGCGGGAATGGCGGCGGTGGCGGCGGCGGTGGTGGTGGTAGAGGTAATGGTGAGTCGGTTTCAAACACTATTTTTAAAAAAGTATTTATGATAAATAATTGAAAAAGTACTTTTAAAAAATCACTTCAAACACAATTAGAGACCTATTTTTTCTATTAAATTTAGGGTGTTAATATTAGTCGTTAGATTAACTTTAAAGTAAAATTTAAGTGATCTCAACTGCGAAAAATAAAAGTTATTTAGTTTATCTTTGAAATTTAAATTGTAAGCTATTTTATTATATACATAGAAACAAGTATAAAATTTTTTATAAATTTACCTCAAGCAATTTTTTCTTTAAACGGTGTAACTTAGATTTTAAAAAGTAGTTTCAATTCAATCTATTAATTTTTTTGGGTACTGTAAAATTATCCAAATTATTAACTGAAGTAAAGATGTGATATCTCATGATCGGGCAGGTGGTTACTTCTTTAGCAATTTTAAACATTCATTTTCAATTGTATCATATAGAGTCCAATTAAAAATTTTAGGCACTAGAGTCACATAATCATAGATTAAAGAGTTCAAAGTGATGTGGAGCACATGCTTCGGAGACTCTTACTATATATTTTTTTTGGAAGGTAAATATATTAAAATAAAAAGATATACATGGATAATTACCCACAAATTGTACATTGACGTCATGTAGGATTCAAAGACAAAGAACCAAAAACCCAAAAGGCTCAAAACACAATCAGAGCATGGTAGACAAATCAGAGCATTAAGAAATCTTCCCCAAAACACCACTGATATGAAAGAAAGCAGACCATAACACCACCATTGTGAATCCATAGCAGGCCAAGCGCAGCAGCAAAATCAGCACCAACAACACAGCCACCTCAAAAACAGAGCATGAGAAATCAGAGCGTGGTAGATAAAATCAGAGTAAGAAAAATATGCCCCATAAAAAGGAGACCATAACTCCACTTATGTGATACCATAGTAGGCCAAAAGCAGAAGCAAAATCAGCACCAACAATACAGCCACCGCAACAACAACATAGCCACCTCAAAAAACAAAAACAAAAACAGAGATCCATCATAAGTTAGGAATTCTGAGAGAAGTATAGGCCTTGAGCCAATACTTCGCCAAGAATCCCAAACCGAGATGCCATGAAGCTTCAAATCATTGATGCATCAAGCTTCAAAACTAGAACTTTAAAGGAGACATGTTTCATGCAGGTTCAATTGAAGCAAGGTCAAGGCATTATGGTTGCGCTTGAATTTCAAGGTGAGGAGCCTCTCCCTAATGGTCTGCTGAACCATTGCCTTACTATATTTTACCGAACAACAACTGTGATAAATCTTATTCCCAGTAAAAGTCTGATTATTGATCAGACCTCATTTTCCTTTAGCTGAATATCTTTTGGTTTCAGACGCTCATACTCTCCCTGAAAGACCTCAAGATGTTCGGAAAGCGCTGACTTATCGATGCTTTCTTGGTGGTATGATTTGCAGACGAAGTAGATTATAGTCTGAATCACCAACCCAAAGAGAATCAACATCAAAAGCAACAAGAAACACAATAACCCAACTCCAATTCTGTACTCAGACCTCAATGGCCATCCATACACAACAAAATATTGAAACACATATTGTATCGCGTAGAGAGAGAAATTCAGCTTGAAGAAGAAAACAATTGCGACCCACATCTTCCCCTTTATCAGTTCCTTGCTCTTGATCATTGCTTTGAATCCATATGTGTCTTCTAAGACTGATACAACGCTAGCCAACTGCCAAAGAATGGTCAAATACACAAATCCAACTACGTAACATATCAAAATGATGAAGAAAATCACCACAGCAATGGTGTTGCCCCCATCAGTGATAGCCCAGATGAAGAAGATAAGCACTGCGACCAAGTTATAGACGAAGAAGACGAGGAAAGTGCAGAGAAAAGTGACCATTAATCTCTTCCAGACCTTAGGAACTACTCTCATGACCTTCTTGAAAGTCACTTCACGAGCTGTGTATACACAGGCAATGGTGTAAACTACGGCGGCAGTGGAGAGAAGAGAGAAAATGAGTAGAAAGGTGAAGTAAACGAACTTGAAAAGCCAGAAATAGGCCCACTCCGATGAGACTCTATGATAGAAGCTCTGTGGATTGGACTGTCTGCTCTTGTACTGTGTATTACAAATTCCATGTGAAAGATTCTTGAGAGAAGTACGTTTGATTCGATGTGGGCGAGGAAGATGACGGAGAGAGGGAGAACCAGAGATAGGGTGATTTGGCTGAAGATTCTTCTCCATTTGAAGATGATCATGCAGGCTTCTCTGTAGATGCCAAAGAGCCCTAAGGATTGCAGTTCTTCTAGCTCTCTTTCCATGTTTTTTGCTTCAAAGGAGGAAAAGATGGAGAGGTGAGAAAAGGGTGGGAGATGGAGTGGGGGTGGCTTGGTTCTAAGGACAATTATAGGAGGTTGGTTGGGTACTTGGGTTGGACTGTTTTCCAAGATATTGCCCTTAGTTTTTAATTTAACCACAAGTCAATACCCCTAATGCTTCAATTATCGAACCATAATTATCATATCAACCACATCTTCGTCGAAACTGAATGTTTTATTCAGACTCGATTCATTTATAATAATGTATAATCAAATTCGTATTATGTATAAGTTGTATTTGCCAAGTTTATGTTCTTTTTAGTTTAAGTTGTATCAACTTATTTATTTGATGGGTGTAACGAATTCACCCATTTACTAACCGCACCCATTACAATTAAACTCAAATCTTTAATTATCAATAAGAGAAAAATAAAGCTAATGTTCTTGTTGTAGTTGTTTTTGAGGTGTCATGGTAATATTCGAGAACAAAATGGAGAGCTTTGGAGTGTCCGCTCACAAGATGGAACACTTTATTCCATTTATTACGATGATTTTTTGTTGGTTTATGTTGGTCCTTTCGTGGTTAAACTTTTCATTAGAAATATTGTGATTAAAGCTTTGACGTTCGTCCTTCTAAACTTGTAGGTTTTCGTTTGGATTCAATTGAAATACTACTACCTTACCAGAAAAGAGCAAATTGAATTTGCAATACACATTAGTAACATAGTGATCCAGGGTTAAAATCGGACGATTGACAGCATAGCTGTAGTTAGTGCCTACAGGGCGGCAACGGCAAGGAGAAAAGGACCGGCTCATCCGTTCTTACACAGGACGGCGAAGTTTCATAGGAGAGTAGCCAGCCAAAAAGTCATTTTCCAAGTTTCCATTTGTATCGATTTGATGAGTCCAACACCATAAAATTTATCTTTATAGGATGTAAGGTGGATAGCCAGAGGTTGACAAAAAAAAAACCCATAAATTTTGTTCCCCACCAACGTAAGAATCTTCAAGAAAGTATAGAAGAATTTATAAAAACATGCACAAATGATTCCTAGAATATATTTTTTTCCCATTTTGGTTTTCCTTCTTTTAATCACGACACTTTAATTTTAAAAAATTTTAATTTACAAATGATTCAGTGAAAAAAAATCATAGTTTTAAATTACTACAAGAAGTATGGATATGTACATATGGTGATTGGACATGTGACCACTTTGTAAGGGAGATATTAAACTTTTGTTTTCAACTAAATCATTTAAAGTCAAATTTAAAATTTTACGAATTAAAATGTCCGATTTAAGTTCAAATGATAAAGTAAAAATGTTAATTCTAAATTACTAACTGAAGTAAGAATACATGTATTTGGTAATTGGACAGGTGGCCACTTTCGTTAGGAATTTTAAACCTTTATTTTTAATTGAATTATTTAGAGTCAAATTAAAAATTTTAGGGATTAAAATGATATAACTAATAGATCGAAACAGATCGAAGTGTGGAGGATAAATGACAGCATGTGTGAAAAAAAATTTATTTCTTAATTCCTTCCTATTTATTAATGTTAAGTCAATCGTATCCTACATATATATCCTTAATAATGTCATCATTTTTACTTTTATGTCCTATCAAAACTCTTCCTATCATATATATAATTAGGTCTCTAACAACTCAAATTGCTCTATAACACATGCATAGATTAATAACTAGGTTTAGTAAACATTAAAATAAGAATTAATTCTCCCACACATAATTTATTTATTTAATTCAATAACACATATAATCTATATTTTTTTATATAATATGATTTTTAAATTCTTTTGAACTTTTTTATAAGGAATATTTGATTTCTAAATTCTTTTGAGTCCCTTTATAAATAGTACACTTATATAAAAATTTTCACATATATGTCTACATTTATACGAAGAAATAAAGATGAATCTATATTATATTTAGGGTGTTCACGAGACAAGTTATCCACGGGTCTTGTTATCCGACCCAAAAAATAGGCCCGAAACTCATAAGCCCAATAGTTGGCCCGCTCATGCCCAATAGTTAGCCTACTCAAGCTCAATATCTTTAAAAAGAGGGTTTGAGTTTGTCCCAAACCCATTACCCGGCCCAATAGCCCACCCAAAAAACCAATTAAAACTCAACCCAAAAGCCTGCCTACCCACACTTCTTTTAAAAAAAAGTTATACTTTTAGATCATTAAATTTGAAACTTTAAAATAAGACTCTTAATGTCGGAATTTGAAAATTCAAAAATGTAGATACTATAAATAATGAATTATTTTATTTTTCATGTATTAAGCATACAAATTTTAAAGAGTAAAGTAATACAAATGATAGATAAGTGAGTAGGTGTCCTAGTTGAAATATATTCATTTTATTGAATGTAATTCATCTCATAGTCAAAAATAAAATTATTAATTATTTTATTTTTATTCATGTTGACTCTACTTTTGATTCAAAAATATAATTTATAAAAATATTAAATTACAAAAATATTCATCATTTTTAAATGAAGCTGTGTGTAAAAAAACCCGCGAGCAGGCTGACCCAAGACCGCTTAATAGGCTCGCGAGTTGGGTTGTAGATAGCCTATCCCTACCCAAAGTTCGGTTTAACCTGCCTGATAACTCACTTGGATAAGAGTTTAGACCTACATTACCTAAGCCCTGCCCAAAAAAAATTTCGTGGGCCTGGCCCATAAACACCCCTAATTATATTGTTATATACATATAGTTATCAAATTGAATTCTAAGATCAAATATATGTTATATTTAATTTTTTTTCAATAATTAGGTATAAAAAGAAATAAAATATAGATTAATTTTTGACACCAAATTTATCAAATAATTTAATTACACATAAAAGTTATATTTTTATAAATTCAATAAAAAAAAGTATTATTTAAATTATTCATGTCGTGCACTTGTTCTTGCTCTCTTTCCATGATTTTTTGCTTTAAAGGAGGAAAAGAGATATTAAGGCAAGAAAAGGGGGGGGGGGGGGGGTGGAGATGAAGTGTGAGGGTGGCTTGGTTCTGAGGAGAATTATAGGAGGTTGGGTACTTGGGTTGTACTATTTTCTATGATATTGCCCTTAGTTTTTGTTAGAGTTATAGCAGTTTAGTTTATTAGGGTTTATTAGAGTTTTTCCTTTTTATCCTTATTGTAACTTTTATTGGCTATATATACGGGGGCTCTACACTCAATTCGTATTTCTTTTTTTTCTTCAAAATATTTCAAGTTGGTATAAGAGTCAGACCCTAATCTTTAACTTTCTCCCTAACCTTAACCCCTAACCTTAGCCTCCACCGAGTCTGCCTCACTGGCAAACTGCCTTCAAGCAAAACCAGCCACTACCCATCGACAAAACCACCAACCCAAAGCAAAACCAACCACTGCCCACCAACCCAGCCACTACCGAAACCATCGTGCCATCAGCTGCCAAGCGAAACCGACCAAACCAGTGACAACATCACAACCCAGATCACCAACCAAACCAGTGGCAAAACCATCTACACTGATTGCCCATACCAAAACCAGCCACATCGCCAGCCCCAAAGTCTTTTTTACATCGACAACCCCAAGGTCCTGCTCCTCTTTTTTACACTGACAGCCCATGGTCCTTTTTATCCCGATCAATCCTTTACAGCAACCTCAAGAAGCCACTGACTGTCCACCAACATGGGGATTCTCATAAGTGTGATTATTGTAGCCAACTAGGACATCTCAAGGCTACTTGTTGGAAGCTTCATCCAGAGCTTAAGCCTCTTCCTCACAGTCGTACTGCTGCCATTGTTGAGACACCACCACCTACAATCATTGCTCCTGCTACTACTGCTACTGCTCCTCCTTGGCAGAGTGATATGGATGTTATCACTTCTCGCTTGGATATACTTATATCCGCCCTGACTTCTCAAGGTTCGACTACTACAGGTATACCTCGTGTCTTTCATACTTGCGTCAGTCCGTCTCCCCTTTGGATGCTGGACTCAGGTGAGAATGGTCATATGACAGGTGAGGCTCATCATTTCACCTCTTTTGACGAGCAGTTACATACTCAAGTTCAGTTAGTAGATGATAAACATGCCCCTATTGTTAGTAGGGATACAGTCCACCTCCCAGATGACTTTACATTACATTCGGTGTTTCATGCGCTAAAGCTGACTATCAATATATTATCTATACATCAGTTAGCTAGAGATTTTTACTGTGTAGTTGTGTTCTTATCTGATTCGTGTTATTTGTAGAACCTGAGTACTAGAAGGATTATTATCAAGGGACATAAAAGAGATAGATTGTATTATCTAGGCGATCCACCTCTGATTTCACCAGTTTCTCCTCCTCCACCTCCATCACCTATTTTGTCGTTATCTATTCCTAGCTTGCATGCTAGTATTCTACCTAGTACTTGTCGTTATGATTTTTCATCACAAAATATTCAGTTGTGGCATGACCATTTTAGGCATACAAATTTTAAATATTTATGTATGTTATTTTCTGCTTTGAACAAAGCTTGTATTAGTGGTAAACTTGACTGTGTTATATGTTCTCTATCAAAACATGTTCAAACCAGTTACATTCCTCGCATGCACCAGTCCCCCAAACTATTTGACCTAATACACTCTGATATTTGGGGACCCTCTACTGTTACTGCTCTGTTAGATGCTCGATATTATGTGACATTTATAGATGACCATACCCATTGTACTTGGGTCTACCTTTTGCATACGAAATCTGATGTACTCCCTGTCATCACTCAATTTCTCCAGATGATTAAAACACAATTCGATGTTATTGTTTGTGCTCTTCATTCGGATAATGTCAAAGAATATATGTCTGATGCCTTAGTGTCTTACCTTTCTTCTCAGGGTATCCTTCAGCAGCTCACTTTTCCATATACTCATGAGCAAAATAGAGTTGCTGAAAGAAAAAATAGGAGTCTGATAGGGATGGTACGTTGTATGCTTAGAAAAATGGGGGTACCAAAATTTTATTG